CCCCAAAACCCCAAAACCCCAAAACCCCAAAACCCCAAAACCCCAAAACCCCTAGATAAGCATATAATTGAGATGATCAATAATAATAAATTAAGACTAATGAATTCTCAAGCCAGTAATAAAGCATCTATGGTTCCCGAAGACATCTGGGATTGCCCAGACCAGGTCGGTGAAGAAGAATGTGCTCCTCAAATGCCTCACTTCACGAAGCAATTTGAGAATACTCTGAAGGATAACAAAGGCAGTTCAAACAAAGCTGACTTTGAAGGAGTATTAGAGAATACGAATACCTCTAAGATTATATATCTGAGACCTAGCGATGAGCTAGTTCCTGCAGGGTTTCAGAAACAGTCAGTGACCTGAAGGGTCAGAAAGACGTTAAGAGACTATAAGTGTAAAACCTACAATGTGAAGAAATCTTCCAAATGGAGAGGTATTAACTTCGCTGATAGTGAAAAGAAGTTGAGGCAAATTCCTTCAGACCAGATACTCAAAATATTGTTAAACTAAATAACAAGCTAGTATTTGACAGTGCGAACTCTTTTTAAAATATTCCTTTTATAACTAAATTACCAATAAACTTCTCTTTAAAGTACCAGCTTGGGATTGGAGGTTCCTATAAAACTTTGGTGAATACAACTCTTTATTATTAAAACACGACTAAGCCACAGAGGAGAGTTTCCTTAGGTGTAAGTCAATCTCTGCTCGGCTGACTTATAATAAAGTAATGAAATTCTTCATATATTTATCACAAGTTTAAAAACTTAAGTATGAAGAATTCAAAATATTTTTGAACTTATTATCGAAATGTCAGTTATGAAGCTACTAAAGCAGTTTTCCTCTAAAGGCAGCCTTAAAATAAATATAAGTACTGAGAAACATCAACAAGCTTTTGCTATGGGTGAGAGTTATAGCTATCTTATGCGTATATTTCAGGGATCAGCTTTCTAAATCAAAGTTCTTTGCCTCTATTTTCAGAGTAAACCAACTTTTATTATTGATGAAGCAGCAAGAATCCATTCAATTAATTTACCTGCTTTATATAAATTTTGGCCATATAGCTAGGGTTTACAGCCAATATAGCAAGAATGACGCGCATCTTTGGATTTGCTTGATTTATTAATGGAAGTCTTAAGCAAGAAATAAAAATTGGTCATAATAAATTTAGTTGACTCCTCAAGGCGAAACTGTGATGCCTTAAGCTCAGAGTCAGAGTCTATGATTTTAGAATTCCATCATGCTTTGATAGACTATCATGATGTTTTGGTGAAATAGAAACAAAAGAGCCCATTAAGTTTGGAATTTTACCATGAATGGATTATCCATGCTCGTAGAAGCCAAGAGGTTATAGGTCAACCTTGCAATTATATCATTCAGGGTGTGCTTTCATTCAGTATTTGTTGCGATAAGGCTTCGCAGGGAAACATTTTCCATATTTTAGATAAATATCGTGCTAACATTAAGATTATTTATACGATACATCTGGGATGTTTTTAAAGGCCTCTTTACTACCAGTGTATTATATAGTAGATCTTCCCTCTTAGAATTAAAGCTTGCTGCCTAGGAACTTCATACTCTCATTTTTGGTGATTTTAGAAATATCCTAAATTTCTGATTTGACATGAGGAAACTCCATTCTACGAATTCATGCTTTTACTACAATTTTTCATAAGAATACTGAGCTCAGTCGGCCTTAAAATTTTGCTATGCTTTTACATTATAGAATGGGAGCTTTCTCAACTGGAGTTCTGACCTCTTTGGAGAAATTTGTTCAACTTAAAATTTGTTAACTTGTTTGATCGAATATAATGAGCACATATGAAATGGTGAAGAAGTTCCTTTGGTTCTTGGCTAATGTCTCTGTAATTTGAGGGACTTCGCTTCCCTTAGAGCTATATTGATTGTATCAGGTAAGAATTCGGTTACCCTACAAAAGTTAGCAAAAATTTCAGTCAGACACTCTGGTGATTTACCAACCAAAACTATGAGGATAGGTATAAAAGTTAAAAGTGTTTTCATATTCGTCCTTAATTAGGTAAATTCCTTTCAACCAAATGTTAGACTTCTGAGAAGTTCTGACATAGTTTTTAAGCAAAAAAGTCAACCCTTAGCTTAATGCATGTAGCTAAGTTTCGAGTAATCTGGATCGAAATCTGCACTGGAATTATGCTAAATATTTTAATGTTTCCAAGAACTTTTCATAATAATAAAAAGATGTAAGAATCCTGGATGCTACTAAGCAAAGGCAATTAAATATTAAATATAAGAATTATATTATCGGGTCCTTTCAACTCTCAACGGAATATAAGATTTTGAGCAAAAAGCAATCACTTAGTTAGACACCAACCAAGTGGTAGAGCAACTTGAGATATACAGGATTTTATCATCCAGGAATGTATATAAGCACAAAGATGTGTCTAACTTTACCTTATTAGCCCAATATTAGCTTCAAAAAATCCCTTAAGGCCACTTATGCAAGACCGGGAGGTAGCCTAAATGTCACATGGAGGTTCCTATACCCCGTTGTTATAATCTGCTGTGCTTCAAGGCATCAAGGCAAGATTGAAAGGATAAAAGAGCATTTTAGGTTGCAATCTACCGCCTTTATAAGGATAGGATATTCAGTTCATTTTCACAAAGTTCTTGGTGAAATTAATAGTGATTAGCAAGCATAGGCTCAGTGTTGAGCTTAGAGTCTGTAGTTAAGCATGCAGACAAATCTTTTAATCACTGATTTATACTAAAACTTTAAATTTAATTCATTTTAGTGATACCTCTCTGGGGTTTTGGGGTTTTGGGGTTTTGGGGTTTTGGGG